CCCCCACACCCCACCGCCGCCTGCCCCAGCCACTCCCTGGCAGACACGGCTCAGCTGGGTGCCCCACGCGGCCTCCCTGGGGCATGGGGACCCCTGCCCCAACGGCTCCCCCAGACAGTAAGTGCAGCATGTTTGGGGTGGGGGTGAGGGCAGCGCCGGGGTGCTCGGAGCGGCTGTTCACCCCCAGCCTCAGAGGGACTGGTCCCTGCCAGGGTCCGGCCGCAGCGAGGGGGTGCGTGCACACGCCGGCTCTATCTGCAGCGGGCAGGTGGAGGGGCTGCCGGTGGCACGCCGGCGCACTCGTGCGCATCTCTCATGTCGGCAGGTCTGGGAGCACACGCGGCTGTTTGCATGGGGAGGGTGGGCACACTGCAAGTCCGCAGCCCACTGCAGGACCCCCAGGGTGGGGGGACCCTGGCAAACTCCCTAGATGTCTCTTTATGGTGGGGGGGCCCAGGCCAGGCTGGCAGGTGCTGCAATGCTGCCTGGTCTGCCCAGCGTCTTCCCACGGTGCTTGGCTGGGCTGAGGGCAGCCCAGCACAGGGGGGACAAGCCTGGGACCCCCATGCCCCCATGTTCCTGCAGTGCCGGGCAGGTGGGGCCGAGCCGAGACAGTTGGATGGTTTTGGGTGCTGCTTTGCGAGGGGCTGTGCCGCTCGCGTGGTGCTGGCCAGCAGCCCTGATAACAGCCCTGCTGGTTCCTTGGCCCCGCTCCCCTCCTGCACCGGCCACCAGCGCTCCCCAGTGAGGAGTCCCCTCCCAGCAGGGACCTCTGACCCCTCCAAACACGATAAGAGGTGGGCAGGTAGTTGTCACTAACCAGGACATCCGGGGCTATAAAAGAGCAATAGTGAATTACAGGTAGGAACATGAAGAGGTTACGGGAATTCAGCTGGGCACAGAGCATCGGGAACAGCAGTTCCCCGCAGATCCCAGCCCCGTTCCTGCTGCAGGCAGCGAGGTTGAACCACCCGGGCTGGGCACGGGGCTGGGCAGCAACACCACAGTGCCGGGGCATCGCCTCGGGGCCGGCCCGGGATGCCCCGGCTGCCCCTGACGAGACCCAGGTGCTCCCACCTCAGGAAAGGCTTAAATGGCCCCTCAGCTGCAGGGCTTGCCCTGTTTGCCCCGTGGGAGGAAGGGCGCAGCCCGGACAGGCTGGGAGGTGAGCAGAGGGAGCTCTGTCACCAGTATCGCTGCAGGGAAGGAGGCACGTCCAGGGCACAGTGCGTCCGTCCTGGGGACGAGCTGGGCTGCTCCAGACGCAGGGACCTGTGGCTGCCTGCCTCTGTCCAGGGGAGCCTCACCGCGAGCTGTGCTCGCTGGTACCGCAGCATCCAGGGTCTGGACTGCCCCTGTCATCGCCGTAGCCTTCCTCCTGGCTTCCCCGTGTGCTCATGGGAGGCTGTGAGTGCCTGGGGAGCGGTGCCTGGTGCTGATGCACCCCCTGACCCGCTCAGGCTCACGCGAGCCCAGCCAGGAGCAGTGATGGCAGGGTTGTGGCTATGCCTCGGCAAACAGAGGGAGGGGATGTGCCACTTGCCTGCGGCACGCCTGGCTCACCCGGGGTGTACGTGTGTCTCGCTGGCGCAGGGGCCAGGCCAGGGATGATGTTTGCAACACGGTGTGAGAGCTGCTGTCTCACGGGGACCCACCTGCACCACCCCTCCCTCCCCCGGCACCTGCTGTCCCATCCAGCTCCGGCCCAGTTAGCATAGGAGGATCGACACCAAGGTTGGGGCAGTTTACTCCTGCTTTGCCTGATACGGGGGTTAAAGTCCCCTCCTTTTTATGAGCCATGAAACCATTTTTATGATCCCTGCTGTTTCAATAGCTCGGCTATTTGGAGTCTCCTTCCTGTAAACGCGCAAGGAGAAATTCCAGGCAGAGGTGGACCCGGTGCCGCCGACGCCTCTCCCTGCCACGAGCTGATGCTCCCGGTGCTGCCCGTGGCTGCTGGTCCCTCCCCGCCCGGTGTGCGCAGTAAGGCATGAGGGTGGCTGTGCCGGCGTGGGCAAGAGCTGCCCGGGGCGGTGGCGGAGGCTGGCGCAGCTGAGTCAGACATGGCGTTGCCCAAAGCCCCGCAGCCGCGGTCTCGCAGCACCGCTGCCCTCTTGGTGGTGCGGGCGATGCTGGCTGCCTGTGGCAGGTTTGGCTTTGCTCGCTCACAGCTGCATCTCGGCTTAGGACATGGCCAGGCTGGGGGACAGAGGCGGGAGGGGGTCGTCGGCTTCAGGGCAGTTTCCACTGGGAACAGTGCTTCGTGCTCTGGCTGCTTCTGTCCAAGACCTGGCGTTTCTGGGTAAATGGAGTGAATGACTGCTGAGACATGGCTGGTTTGTTAGTGGTGCCTGTCCCCTGGGCACAGGTATCTCTCGGTCGCTGCCCGGGTGAGGACAGCAGCACCAGGCTGGAAGAGGGAGCTACACGCCCCCGACCTCTGCTCCTTCTGCTGCTCTTAACAGCCGCTCTCCCCTCCTGCTTGCAGGGCCAGCCAGGTCCTGCCCCTCATCCTCAGGTGAGCCGGGAGCCTGAGGGCGACGTCGAAGCTGAGCAGCATCCCCGATCCAGGGCGAGGTTGGCAGAGGGTTGAATGCTGACTCTTCCCAGGAGATGGACAGAGTCACCAGGCACATGGTCTTCCAGCTCCCGCAGACCTCGCACAAGCACGACTATAACGATGATCACCAAGCCGGCTTGTTTGCAGAGCAGAGGGCCAACAGCGATGATGATGTGTTTGGCTCCACTCAACACAGCAGCCAGAGGGTGGAAAACGGCTATGGCTGGAAAATGAGGTCGAAGTCACCTTCATATTTCCTGGATGGTAGAAAAGATGTCTGGACCCCGTCCCCGGACAGGGAGTCCAAGCTGGAGGTGGTGAGGTCGGGAAGCCTGTATGACCTCAGGGCTTACAGAGGCAAGAGGAAGCCCTCGAAGCTTTACGATGAGGATGAACAGGAACAGTACAGGGTCCCTCCACCAAACATCTCACCTGAGAAAGCCAGGGAGCTTGAGGATGAGAGGAGGGAGGTCATCCAGAGCCAGGTGGTGAGGAAGAGCTCCACCATGGCCGAGAGGTGGAGCTCCATAGATGAGCTGAGCTCTATAAACGCCGGCACAGGCAGCCAGGGTGAAGGCAGGCACACGGGCAGCTTCACCACCAGCTTCGCCATTTGCTTTGACAAGCCTTCCTCGGGGAGGGCAGCGACGCCTGTTGACCCTGAAAATATCGATACGGAGCAGATCAACTTCTCCGCTGCTCGGCAGCAGTTCCTGATGCTGGAGAAGACCAACCCGGGCTCTTTTTTCAGCCCAGGGCAACAGGCCATGTCTCCAAAGCCAGAGTCTATGACAAATGTCTCTAGGCAAGAGTGGCATAGTCCTGAGATGGCCACGAAGGCTGCAAGAGGTTATGGTAATGCTGGTGCATCCAGCCAGAGCAGGACGGACAAGACCGTTTATCAGGTTCATAGTGTATCCTACAAGACACCTGTGAAGGAGGAGGTTTATGCTCCCAGAAGGGCTGATACTGAAAGGTCATATCCCACTGGGAAAACGTCCAGCTTGACTAAAGCATCTTCTAGAGAGGACCTGGACTCCAGCTTGGGTGAGATGTATAACGAAGCCAATGCAGGCTACACCAGCGACGGAAGTGCATCCAACGAGATCTTCAATGGCCTTGTGGATCTGAGGGCCGGCAGCAATGGCCTGGACAAGGAGATGAAGATCAACGAGACGCCCATCGAGCGGGAGATCCGCATGGCGATGGAGAGGGAGGAGAACCTCTGGAAGGAGAGGGGGATCCAGCGGCTGACCTCCAGCAGCGAGCTGGTGGAGATCCAGACCAAGCCTCTCCTCTCCATGCACGCCTCTCCCGGCCCAGGCAGGAAAGGGAAGGACAAAGGCCGCGCTTCCCTTTACGTCCAGAGGGAAATCGAGCAGGAAACCAAGCGAGAGGAAGATCTGAAGAAGCAAGGGAGGCTGCTGGGGACATATGACAAGGGGACACAGCAGGAGCTGGACGAGCGTAGGAGGGTGTTCGAGCAGGAGGAAGCCTCCCCACAGAAGCCCACCCCCACGAGGAAGGCAGACGAGCAGAGGAGCTGTGTTAATGAGTTTGCGGCAGAGCGGCCCACGAGCCACGGCTCCTGCCCCACAGAAGACACCAGGGGTGGGAGAAGTCTTCCCAGCTACACAGTGAGCATCACGCGCTTCCAGGCATCCCAGCCGCGCTTTGCTGCCAGCGAGAAGAGCCAGGACCAGCCTCTGGTGTCCCAGTGCATTTCCGCCGGCGCCAGCAAATGGGGGAGCGAGGATTCCTGGAGAGGAAGGCTTCCCAGCTCCACCCTGAGCCCCACCGGCACGGCTGTCCTGCCCAGAGAGTACTTCTCCTTCTCCTTCTGGAAGCCCAAGGTCTCCTTCGTGGACGACATGGGGACACAGAAGCCGCTAAGGAGGGCGGACAGCCAGGAGGAGCAGTACAAGCTGAGGACCTGGAAGCCCCAGACATCAGCACTGATCGAGGAGGAGATCCGGAGTGACTTGCAGAGGGAAGAGGAGCTGCAGGAGCAGCGGCGGCAGAGGCAGCTGATAGACAGCTACTCCCTGGTCAGCAGCGACGGCTTTCCCCAGGAGGGCTCCCGCTCAAGGCACAGCTCCGGTAAGGCGAGGAGAGGAACGGTGGGATGGGACAGGGCAGGGGTCAAACCCTGGGGCAGAGGTACCATGGGCATCACTCCTGCCCTCCCATTCCTTGTGGCTCTGAGTCTTAGCAGGAGCCATCAGAGGGGGCAGGAGTGGCACCATGAGGCGCCCGTCCCAAGGGACCTTCCTGTGCAGGCAGGCAGGTGCCTTTCCCAGGCATGGGAAGCCATTAGGCAGCAAACTCTTACGGTGTCCGCAGTCTGCATGAGATGCCTCTCGCGGGCAGCAGCCAGATGTGACCTGGGCTCTCTGTGAGAGCAAGAGTGGCCGTGGGAGGGACCAAGGGGGAAAGAGTTATGGGTGGAAAGCATCAAGTCCCGGCCTGGGAGAGTCTGGCTGCGGGTGAGGGCGTCCAAGTTCCTCCCTGCAAGGATTTGCTGAGATGCCTGTAAGGACCCCTGTGTGTTGGTAGCAAGTTGTCCCAGGAGAAATAATTCTCCTTGGACAGGGATTCTGTGGTCAGCAAGCAGGAGTGCTTGATGTGAAGTCCCTGGAGCCAGCTGGAGCAGCCCAGCCTGCAGGGGGGGGGAACAGATGTAGGGAACTGCTGCTGCTGCTGCTGAGGCATGGGCTCCGCAAGAGCAGCATGGCTTTTGATTCTAGAGCTGCTCAGATATTGATGACTTTGTGTCATACTATCACAGAAAACAGTGCTGGAAGGGCCCAGAAGTGCCCAGCTCATGCATTTCCCCTCCCTTGCTCCTGACAATCCCCGGCTGGCACCCAGACACGGGGTCCCAGCCGTGACCAAACCCTCTGGACCTGCCGAGGAGGCTGGTCTGGGGCAGGAGCCTTGCTCTCCCAGCCCCGGGAGCAGTCCTGGTGTCCCTCACCCTGTAACGGCTCTTTCTCTTGAAGCTGCCTCAGGTGTAAGCGGCAGCTACTCGGTGTCCGGGTCTCCCGTTTCCACTCCCACGTCGCACCAGGTGGGGGTCCTGGGGCTAGTGTCGTCCTTCACCCCGCTGAGAGTGGCTGGTCCCTCCCAGGGCAGCACGGAGACCCTTGCCCCCGACTCGGCTCGTTCCAGCCCCTTCGAGGAGCGGAGGAGGAGGGTGAAAGAGGACGGAAAGGTGAATGTGCCTGCCCTGCCTGCACTGGGCAGCACGCAGTTGCGGGGCTGGAGCCCGGGAGAAGGCTGGTGGCTCTGGGGCCAAAGGTGGCCATGCCCAGCTCCCACCCGGAGCTGGAGGTCCAGCTGCTTGGCTTGGTGGGAGACCTGGTGGTGGTGGCACCGGCAAGGGGCTGTGCCGAGCCCCCAGGGCAGTCACCCACAGCTCATGGGTGCCAGCACTGGGTGGGACTGCAGGGGAGCAGCAGCTTCCTCCTGGGGGGGGAAGGTCCTGGCCTGAACTGTCCCCCCTGCTCTGGGGAGGGCATGAGGGCACAACTGCACAAGCTATCTCACCTCGCCTCTCCCCTGCCCGGCAGCCTGACGCCCCCATGCCCCATATCCAGCTGCCTCTGGCTACTTCCCTGCGAGGTTGCTGTTATCTGAACCTTTTTTTCCCCCTTTTCACAGTATGCAGGCATTGAACCCGTTGACAAGATCAACACAGAGGTAAAGTCCTTTATGTACTCGAGGGCTCTGCTTGCACTGCCCTGACTCCTCACCCCCCTCACTTCCCGGTCCTGGAGGCTGGTGGGATGGACGGGGTTCTCGGCTCCCACAGGGCCACAGGCACCGCTCGGGTGGGCATCGTGTTGGGCAGAACGTGTCGTGGCCGGTGTCAGGCGTATTTAACCCAAAGAGGGGGGGCTTCTGGCTGGGAGGACAAGTCGTGCAAAAAAGATTGTTTATAAAAATATCTTCTTTATAAAAAGATACTGTGCCTTCTGGTTTCTTTAGGTTGTGGAAAGCACCAGAGTGATTCGTCACAAGAGCGCCATGGCCCAGCGCTGGGAGGCAGGGCAGTATGTCAGGGACGACGACTGAGGGAGCCCTCGGGGCCGGGGAGGGACAGGGCCACCGGACTTTGCCGCGTACTTACCCTGTTTGGGATCAACTGATGCATGATCAAAATACCCGATCAGTTCAGCTCCTGGTTATCACGAGGATCAAAGACTTTTACACTGCAAATCGCATCCGTTTTTAATATAACAGATGATCCTTCTGATGCATTAGATGTGCTCATTCGTTCCCCCTTCCCTTTGAGGTGAGGTAATACTTATTTTCTTGAGAGGGGAAAAATTGGGTCACTTTCTTTTAATCACTTCTGCAAGGAGACAGCAAGATGAATCATATGGTAATTTAACTTTTCTCATTGGAAGCTGTGTCTCTGGCTTACAAAAAAGCTATTTTATTTCTAAGTGGTTTTAGGTTTTTAAGTACCACAACATCAGGCATCACCTAGGAGGGTACATAGACTGACGCATACCTTTGGATCAATATCAGCATCAAATTGGGAAATCAACGTTTCTGCCTAACTCATGTCATTTGCTGAGATGCAGCAATGTAATATACGTATATATATAAATGCTGTTTATTTTGCTAATTTATTAAAGAGTCATCGCTCTCCCTCATTCTGCCCGGCCTGTTTTGTCTGCCCGCTCCGCTGTTTTTGCAGCGGGCGTTTCAAAGGAGCCCCCGCGGTTGGGGAGACGGGGCCGGGGAGGCGTGACCGGGACCGGAGCCTTCTCCTGGGCGCAGCCCCGGGGGGACGCGGCTCCCGTGGGGGGCTCCC